ATTCATGTCTAGCACTCTTATTAACAAAAACAGGGGGTCGCAACTGGACCCCCTCGAGAGCTAGGGGGTCGCAAAAATCCCGAAAATGTTCGAACGTGACGGTTGACCCTGCTTGAGTGACCCTAGTGAGACCCTTTTGCCCTACCAACGCTACTAATAGGGCGTGAATAATCCATTGCAACACTGGTGGAACCTCTGGTGAGGGCTCTATCGTACTGGGTGATTTCGAAGTGTTTCACGATGTTAGAAACGCTAGGAGTGGAAGATGTTGATCAGGCGGCCTATGAAATCAAGGCTCTGAGTGCCGCGATCGATAAGGATGGCAGCGGTTGCAGCGGCGAAACGAAAACATTAGCTCCATCCTCGCGCACGTTCAAGTTACTGCAGTATCACCACTCTTATGGTTAGAGGTCCCACTGACTCATTTCTGAGGATCTAATTGCGACCCGCTGCTTTTAACACGAAGCCAGATGATTCTATCTAAATGTGCCGAGTTGGTTGTGCTGTGCATGTGCGTTCGCACCTGACACGGATAGGTCGGTTCTATGATGAGGACTACCGTGAACATGTGTTGGAGACAGGTGTGTTTTGGCAAACTGTCAACCGTACTTTTCCAGTGTAGCAGTTCCACCTTGTTCTGAAGAGCTAGGCCAGCTGCTGACCTTTTCTTCATAACCTTGTGTCAATTCAGTCTCAGTTTTGCAAGGTTTGTGGAACCTGATCGTGGTCGATGTATTCAGCAAAGCTCTGTAGCAGAATTTAGCATGCTATAGCAAAAAAAAATCGCTCTACATAGTCTATCGCAGGTCAGTGAGAAGCGATCCATTCACATTACATAAAAGAAGCTAGGAAACAGGGACGACATTTCGAAACAGTGATTGTCGCGACACACCCTCACAGAATTTTTAGACTTTCCAACTTTCCCCATATAACTGAAAACCATAATTACTTTACGTCCAGATCAAAGGAAAGCTTTTTAATAGTTATGTGCACGCGTGCTCCAGTAGTAACGTTTGGCTACTCGTGGGCAACGTCCGATATTCGACCCCAACCTGCATAATCTTCAGGGTTCTCGCTATTGTACAAAAATTTTTGTACAACTGCCTTAGAGCATACTTATTTTGAGTCGGGGTGTGATATACTGAACTGCTCCAGTCCTTGTATGCTTTTTTTGATTATTTTCTTATGACTTTTTTTTTGCTTGAGAAAAAGAAAGCCAGCTTTCCCAAATAACTGCTTTTTGAGTCCGAAATGTCCAAAACTTTGGAAAAGTGATAACAGAATGTGTACAAAAAAGTATACTACACGTTCATCTGAAGCAATTAAAGCACTTCAAAATAGTGGACAGGCGGTGGGTGGGCCAAAAAAGACATTTTGCCCGTCGCATTTCAGCGATTTTTTGTCGCAAGGATTGGCCTCGTTGATGAAAGTTTATCAGCACATTATTCCTCAGACGTTCCTCTCATGTCCCTCTGTGGCTAGATGCATTCCCTCCTTCACTGCCCTCACCGTCTTCAGAATATGACGTCATCTGTCATCGTCGTCGAGCTCAGAACCTACCGTAACTGCTTCAGCCTGAAGCTCTTACATAGCTTCTCGAATTCAATGTTGGATAGTTTCCTACAGACATCAGCTCTAACTAGGGGAATCCGCTCAAGCCCGCTTTCCAGAAAAATTCTCAAAGACCTGTTGAGCTCCAGCAGTGCTCCATATTTCCGGGTCCCATTCCTCCGATGCCGTTTACGCTGAAGCTTACTACGAAGTTGTTCTGATAAAATGGAATGCTTTCTTCAAGTTGGGAGCATTCGGTTTGGATTCAACAAAGTGTGAGTAATCCATTTGAATAAGCAGACAAAATCTTTTTTTTATTGCTCCCCCCTCTACACAACGGTGGCAGCTGAAACAAAATGAAGCGCTCCAAATGAAAAATCAAGAAACGACAGCTCTTTTTGAAAGGCTTAATAGAAGTTCCATAACGATCCCTGACGAAATGGAAGAAAACCCATGTACAGCGGCGTTTGGCCGCGATCATGAACTATGATTCCAATATCAACCCTCGCAATGTGCTCTGTGTTCAGTGCCCTTTGCAGACATAGGTCGCCCTTTTTTGAGTTCCCTTATCTACCGCTTCTTATGCAGCTGATAAGAGAACTTTGTGTCAGAGCATATGGTAGCTGTTCTCTCGTGAAGGGTAGAAATATGAAATAAAAAAGGCACTCCCACTGTGTAGTAAAAGCTTATTATGCCATAGATAAGTCCCTCAGGACGTACCGAAACATTTGTGACGATTCTTCCGTAATCCAATACATTTTGTAGAGTGATGTCATTGCAATACATCAATGGGTATCACTGATGAACTCTATGCTCTAGTCCTCAGTTCACTGGGGAAATTCGGCAAAGTGCTATTTGATAGAGCAAATGGACAAGGACAAAAACATCTAGGTAGATAAGATATCAATCACTATTTTGCTGGTTGCCCTGACCAGACAGTGAGCAAACAGTTTGGTCGCTACTGTTTTTTATGATCAGCCACGACTCAAATCTTCAATCATGTATTAATAGAGCATTTTGTGAATTCAAAAATTGCAGATCGTCAAGATGCTACTTATTACTGTTTTTACCTTGTTAACGGTATCGAATGCAGCTAAAGTTATTTTCAATGGTATGCACTCATCTGACAGTCACATTGCTAGCATGCTACCTTTGGCCACGAGGTATGACCATCCACATCCATTAGAGCTCTATATTCTTCTATATCCTATTCATATCCTTGATATTTTTCTGCTATTTCTATAGGTAAAAGTTTACCATAACACGGCAACCCATGTAATTTTTCTGTTGGAACATGGAGCGTGACCAATGGCGCGAAAAAGGGCAGTACACCAGACTGCCCAGATGGGCTTGAAAGGAATCCTTCACGGAAAAATCATGATTCTATTTCAGCCATAAATCACTGGCTTGAGACTCATTATCCACGATAAGAATGAAAAGAACAGAAAAATTGCATTTGTTTTGGTAAAATTCGAAAAACGAAAGGGCTGCTACGCGTTCAAAGTACCGCCGACATCTGTCACAAATGCTGGCGACGGGAATGCTTCCACTTGGTTCTTGGAGTGCCTTCACTAGAAACTCTTTCTGGCCTTTTGACTTTGCATTCACATCTCACACTTCTACTGCCATCCTATTCTATCGATCGATTTGTCTCTACTCTCCAAAATCGCGCGCTTTAACCCGATTCTTTCATTGCGTCGCCTGATACGTAGCCGGCCAAGGCGGACTTCTTTCCATGCCTCGCCTTTGGCTCCGCCCGAATTACCTTCGATTGTCCATAGAGTGTAGTTTTTGTACGTTTGTTTCTCTTCGGAAACCGAATCTTCATGCGTGAAACTTTGTGTGCTGTTTCCAGTGATCACAACTGACATATTCATGTTAGGAAAGAATGCAAGAATTTTCCGCGAAGGATTCCTTTAATTACCAGCTCTGATTACCAGGGAACCTCAAACGACAGGTCAATTTAGTCCAAGGATGTCTAAATGGTAGACAGTGTAATTAAATTGTCGGTTAGAAGAAAATCCTCTAATGCAAGCGAATAATTAGAGCCTTTTGTAGTTATCGCCAATCCAACGATCCTCAATTGTTTCAGTATACATTACGGCAAATTTTGATGTACCTTCACTGAAGTACATAGTATGTTGAGTATAAAAGGATAAAGCATTTGCCGTTGATCAATCCCTTTTTGGGATGCGGCACGCATTCTACTTCCATTTGTACATTCGTAGTGGCGTTTGAATGCGATGTGGCCTATACAATGACTTGCGGGGCCAGCCGATGTACAAGTCAGTGTTTTTATCCTCCCAGACAAGTCTGGTACCAATTAACCGACCCCGGAGGGATGGAAGGCTTGGTTGGCCCGGGCGACTCACGACCCAGGATTTGATCCCCGGACCGCTCGCGTGGTAAGCGTGCCACTTGCCACTACACCACTTCCGCCCTTTGAGTCCATATGAGAGAAGAATGCGAAAAGTAATTGGTCTCATAGGAAAACAATTTTTCCTATGAGACCAATTACTTTTCGAAGATTTTCAGAGAAAATTCTGTTCGGGAAGCTTTGAGCTTTTTTCTAGACCGATTGCGTGGTCAATTTTCAAACTTTAAGCCCTTCTTAACAGCGACCGCCAAGTGATGTCACTGTTTTGGTCCAGATAAGACTGTCATGCGGAAGACGGTGCCCGTTTGTGGTAAACGGCGAAACCTCTTTTTGCACAGTCCGGTTATCAAAGGCGCTCTGTATAACCAAACTTTCAACCTCTCTAGTCTCGATTAAACGCCACCAGACATGTGTGAGAGGATAAGAAAACAACTTCCAAGTAGGCTGCTCTCCGCATGTTCTTCTACGCATGAAATACTCTCTCGACCGAGATTTCCGTTTTGAACGGGTGTGGTGGTGCACGGCGTACCATGAAGAGGCAGACAATATCAGCGATTTCTTAAGCACTCGGAGCTCATTTTTCTGAGGCTCCTCAGTCAACATGACTGAAGAGCAGGAATAACATGGTTAATATAGCTTTGTTTCAACAATAAGGTGAAAAATCGTGTAGATGAGTCTCAAGCCCAATTCCTTGCACATTGTAGAAGATATGAGGTTGCCGGAAAGTTTTACAAATCCGAATGTTTGATATCGGCAATGCGTCTAACTTGTACGTGTCCCATCCTTCTGTGGAATAGGGACGGTAATTATGTCAGAACACATAAGACTGGTAAGTACGCACTCAACTCGAGGATGGCAGTCTCGTAGGTGCAGCGTTATGTCTCAGTTATTCATTTTCTATAATACATATATTTACGTAGACTGGATGGCAAGTGGCACGCTTATCACGCGCGCGGTCCGGGATCGAATCCTGGGTCGTGAGTCGCCCGGGCCAACCAAGCCTTCCATCCCTCCGGGGTCGGTTAATTGGTACCAGACTTGTCTGGGAGGATAAAAACACTGACTTGTACATCGGCTGGCCCCCGCAAGTTATTGTATAGGCCACATCGCATGGCCACTACAAATGTACAAATGGAAGTAGAATGCGTGCCGCATCCCAAAAAGGGATTGATCAACAGCAAATGCTCTTATCCTTTACGCCTTTTATGTACATATAACGAATGATGCCACTCAATTTCTGAAGTTTTTTGCAACACAGAGCTCCGATTGAGCAAAATACGGCAGAGTACATTAGTCAAAGTATCTATTCCTCAACGCTGAAAACCATTTCTCCTTTTATGGCAGTCAGTAGGAACTGATATTCTGCAGATAACAAATCTTCTTTATTTCTACAGCCTCCAACGATAAATGATTGTAAATCTTCTCTATTGCGCTGCCTCGAGATAAGAAGATGACAATCTTTTTGAGCAAGAGCATAGAATAAAGTGGATGTTTGAGAACCTTCTATTTCATTAGCTCATTCACGACGACGCGCGTTTTTCGCTTTCTGGTCGCGTGAGACAAGCGCGTTTTTGGAGTGCCCCGCCCCACCCCTCATCTATGGATTTCGTGTACAAATTAACAACAGACAATGAATATCGCAAAGCAGCTTTCGAGCGATCGGCAAACGCCGTGGAATTTTCAATAAAGGCGTATTATGGTGGAATGCCATTGGAAAAGGTGTAATTGTCATGAAAACGCAAAATTTATTAACATTCATTGCAGTGGATATGAAAAGCGTTTTTCTCCCGATTATTCTAGCAAAAACACGCTTTTTACCGTTAACTGAGATTTGTATTTCCTTTTAGTACTTTTTCCATTCTCCTTCAAGGGAAGACAACAAAAAAGACGATCCAGCCAAAAAAAAAGAACTGGTACGGCCCAGAAAACGGCATATTTTTCATTCTCACAGTGGACCACGATGTTTAGAGTTTCATACTATTTCACAACTGAATCACTGGAATCGAAAATACCCGACCAGATCATGATTTTGGTAGGCTACTGTCTGTTGGCAGGCCGTATGGGCTGCTATCCTCCCACGAGCTCACATAACCGGCAGCCTATGTGGGCTGCCATCGGCGTAAATGTGTTAAGGAATCTTTCCACGCCGACCATGACCAGTGGGCAGGACCGGGAATTTTTTTTGTTGCCACGACAATAGCGGAGTGGTCAGGTACGGATCCACGTGGATTGTCTTACGAATCTACGTACAAACAGTGACACGCAATTTCATCTTCAATCTTTCCACATTTGAACGTGGACGTACCTACCATTGATATTCGTTCGGCCAAGCTACTGCCAGCCCGTCCAGCACGGAGAGGAGCATGCTGGTTCCATTGGTACTCGCCTGGAGTCCTAGGTTAATTAATAACTACTTTTTTTTTTTCAATCATATGAGCCAATCTTGGTGGGGGGACATGAATCTGAGGTGGTATGAATTGTGGCGCTTTCCTCGCTTCAATAATTTGGTCGTGACGCCTACTCTCGATGCTGCGTTTGCAAAGATTAATGATATTCATGACTCTCACTCTACTCTGAATCCGCGATATCTATGATAGGTGAGACCTTCACTACCACATCATTTGCGATAACTGCAAATGTTTCGTTTCCTTCGCCTTGAATGTTTCTGGTTCAAATCCTGCCCATCTCTCTGTACCTTGGAGAAATCCGGCATATATGACCGATGTGCTGTGGCTGTACTTTTCTCAAGCCAAAGAAGTTGGTAGTCCTCCTCAGGTGCGCCCTTTGATTTTCCAAAGTTGTACTCAAGATCGAGGAACAACTTTAAGGATAGATCTTAGTGAGAAACAAGGACCCAGGGTATAAGTGACGCGAGAGACAAGTTCCACTTCTCATTGTGCGAGTAATAGGCTTCCTTTACCCTTAGAGGCGAAAATGTTGCAAGCCCTAGTACTTCTTCTACCGAATCCATGTTTTGCCAGGTAAGCCTATGATCGCCTTGTCTTGTATAATGATTTTATTATATCTCCTAAAAAAATTTTACATATCTAATACTATCTTCATTTATTAGAATATTTTTTTTATCATTTCCAATATATTAGAATTAGCTTCTCAGGCTGGTGCAAGAGCAGCATATGGTTCATTTCTTGGAGACGAATACTAAACCATCACATTTCAACTACCCGAGTAATATTAGTTACACCCATGTCGAACTACATAGTAAGTCCAAATAATGTAACATCCTTTCATTTCACCATATTTCAAAAACCCTCTTGAAAAGTCAACCTGTTTTCTTAAGAGGATCCATATTTCGTCACTACCTTTCTCAAGGCTATGTGGACAAAGATATTCAGCCCTGTTGAATTCCCACGCATCTGGGAGACTGCTGACAAGGCATTTGTGGAAATGCTGGACTATCATCCGAGAGAAGTATGTTTATCTTGTTTTCCATTATTCGCCTTCGTGAGATTGCCGAGCATCTGCACCTCTTGGTTGCCACACTGCGTAGCGCGTGCGCCGAGTTGTGGGCGCGATATTTCCTTATTCCTTGTCGGTTTTCAGATCCAGTGCGTATATGTACATGTTCCAATCCTATTGATCAAAAAATTCTGTGAAACACCCACAACTGGAAAAAATTGCTAATACTGTGAGATCAGTTGCTGAAGCCCCATTCAAATCACTTATACACTTGCCCACTAAATTACCTCCTTTGGATTTCAGGGGAGTTCGATGTGGAAATAATAACCATATCTAATCAGACAGAACGCCTCCCTTTTTTCAGAAACCTCTTGAAAAAAAGGTTCACCACAAATAGAGCACTCTTACCCTTTGATACCTCTTATCTACTACATTTTTATATGCAAATAAGTAAGAAATATAAAAATATACTGATAAGTTTCCATGAAACGAATAATGACAAGGACGTATTCGAACTCTCCGTAAAACGACGCTTGAAAAAAGTGAGAAACCTCTATGTGTAGCGAGCTGCCACGCGCGCTTGCCAGCGCAAAAATGGTTCTGTACCTAATGTGTTAAATAGGGGTGCCACGTGCAGAAATCTACTTGTCGTCGCAGAATGAAAGTGTCGGTGTTGTGTATTTTATTTAT